TGCCATTTGTAATCTGGCTCAGCCCCAGTTTATTGTCACTAAGCAAATCTTCCTCACTTTTTTCCTTTGCTCGTGCCTTTTTAAAACTTACTCGCTCTTCAAAGTCTGATTCTATTTCTGCCTGTTTCTTGAAGCTCCCCTTGAGTTCTTCAACACGGTAAGTGACAAGTGCCCAAGTACTGCAGATAACAGGGGCTTCCTTTGAGCAGGAAGCTTGTTATCTGGTCATTTTTGTCCAGTGCCATCCTGACTGGGGCTGGCATGCATTACTATCTGGATTTTCACATGAACACATCCTACTTCCCAAATAGATTTTGTGTTCTTTTGGTAGAGTAAGTACTATAAGTTTGTGTTAGGCAATTCATAGGAGAAGTTCAATTAAACTTCTGTCTGTCCTCTTGCATTAGGACTATGACCTGGGTGTGAGCCTAAGGATGTAAGATAATGCTCAGCTTTGTTGCCTGGGAAGAAGAGGGTGAACTCTTATATGTTGCATATTCAGGACCCAAAGCATGCTAGGCAGTCACCCTAAAACCCCAACAACCCCTTTTTTCCATCTTTTTACTTTCCTTATATTTTCCATTCACAGGTCAGGTATTGGCTTTCTCACTGGGCTTCGAACATGTGTGATGAATAAATTGTATTTCTGTGTCCTGGATCAACAAGTAGAAGTCCTTCCTGCACAGGTTTAAAGTGGCCTCCCTGGGAGGTGCACCGTGCTTGCCTTTCCTGTGACCAATCTTCCCTAAGTCCTGTGCTGGGATCAGCACGGCTTTAAAGATGTGCATCTTAACAGTAACGTCCTGCATAGTGGGACTCCTTTGGATTAAAGTGGCAGAAACCCAATCAAAACGGAGGAATTTTATGTGTGTGAGAGAAGATATATGACTGCTTCGTGTCTGAGAAAGCAGTTGGCCCCCATGTACCGCGTGGAATTACGTCTCTTACCTTTACCTAATTCTACCGGTCTGCTTTATTCTTCTCTCTTGTTGCAGACTAGCTTCAGCTTTTCTGTTCATATGATGAAACAGGGGGCTAACAGCTTTTGAGCTTGAAATTTTAGAGTCCAAGTGTACAGAGAAAGATTGCCTCGACCCATGCCCCAGCCAGAACCTAAAGCGTGTTCATTGCAATCTTGGGCCAAGGGTCTACCCCTGAACCAATAAAATGTGGTCAGACATGGAACTTTTTACTGTACTCTGTTTATAGGGTAATCATTCGGATGGAGGTAGGAAGGGGTTGTTGCCTGGAGAAGATATGCTGGACTGATGCAGAGTAGGAGTTTGCTACGACGCACTTGTGCATAGAGGCGAAGGGTTTACAAGCCTCTCCCCACCTGTGTTATCTCATGTGAGCATCATGACAGTTGAGTAACATCAGACAGGAGCTATTGGTACACAACTTACACCAGAGGACATCAAAGTGCTCCTAGAAACTAAACGATTTGTGCAAGATTCACTGAGAGGTAGTGAATTATCCTTCCACTATCCAACAAAACCCATTTTCAAAATGTTCCTGAAATCCCACCACCTTCTCAAAGTTGATGAACAGGAAAGAAATGGTATCTTAGCTTGTCTTTTCTAGGAAAAATAGCAATTCCAGGAAAGTGTAAATTCAGCAAAGCAGGAATGAGGAAAAAGGAGTATGAGGCAGAGAGAGAAAGGAAATATAAGGGAGTGAGTTACTGGGCTGGCCACAATTCTGAACTAAGCTGATTGCTTTGTATCACAGGATGTTTTCAGGGAGGCTGTTTGAAGCTACTGTGTGTGGCCCAATGGGTAGAGAAGGGAAAGGAATAAACAATGAGCTTCCATTGCCCTTGGCCAAAGTTCAGGACCCAGGGCACTAACTCACAAACTCCTCCTGTTGTATGGGCTTGGAGAACAGCAGCACCTGCTGGGAAGCAGAGAATTCCCAGGGTAGAAGGCAAGATGTCGTCAGGTTATACATGAGAGTGACATGGGGGATCAGAGATAGCCATAGGGGGAGTCTGGTTGGCCCAGAGGCTAAGCTCTCTACTGTGACATGACTTCCTGCCACAAAGGTGGCAAGAGACCTTCACAAACCTCCTCTCTGCGGCCTATAAAAAGGCAATTGAACCTGGCAGGTGGCTCAGTTGGTTGGAGCATCGTGCTGTACACCAAAAGTTTGCAGGTTTGATTCTTGGTCAAGCCACTTGCTACAGGTTTGCTCCCCAGTTGGGCTGCATGAGGGAGGCAACCCATCATTGTTTCTCACATTGATGTTTCTCTCTCTCCCTCCCTCCACTCCCTCTCTTAAATCAATAGGCATTTTCGGGGGATGATTGAAAACAAAGAATGCAGTTGATGCCAAGGCATCTTCCTGGAGAGTCATCAGTAACACTGAGCAGCCGGCAGCATGGTCTAAAGTATGGCCGGTGACACCTGCTCCCTCATGGAGACTCGCTTCGAGGACACCACTCCTATCCTACCTCAGAATTGATCAGTCCCTGCTTCATGCCCACACTATTCTCCAACCACATATATAAACATTTAACACAATTATTTATTCATTCTCTCCCCCCCACCCCATCTCCTAGAGAAGATTTTTGTGAGATTGAAGTTAATGGTGATTCAATAGTTCACTGAGTGCCAGTTATGGGCCAGGCACTATTTTAAGTGCTAAGAGTAGAGTAATGATAGACACATCTTTAACTTTTTGAAGCTTGCATTCTATGTGTGTGTAGAGCCCAATAAAGAAATAAGTAAAAAATATATTGTGTTAGATGGTGATACATGTTTTGAAAGACAACAAAGCAGGAAAATTGGATGGGAAGAGTAGGGTAGGAAATGAAGGTTGTCAATTAACGAGCGCAGCCAGGGAAGGCTTCAGAATGAGTGACATTCCACAAAGAGCAGACATAAACGGGGGTGGGGGGGGAGTTCCAGAAATAGAGAAAGGCAAGTGCAAAGGCTGTAAGGCATGCTGGGTGTTTGCAGAAAGGTCTGAGAGGTCAATGTGACCAAAGAAGACTAAGAGAGAAGGAAAGGAGAGAGTGGATGTGGGCAGAGAGTTAACATGGAATCACATATGTCAGAACCTTGAAGTGACTTGGCTTCCAGTTGTGGGTGGATAGGGAGGCAGTGGGGCTTTAAAGCACAGACGTGATCTGACTTGCATTTCAACAGGGTCACTCCAGCGAAGTTAGGGGGCTCCTGGGGTAACTCAGGTGAGAAATATTCATTGTTTGGACCAAGATGGTAGCAGAGGAGGTGGTGAGAGATGGTGTGATTCTGGTTGAAAGATGAAGCAGGTAGGATTTCTGATGGATTAGAAAGTAAAGCAAAAAGATGACTCCAAGCCTCCTGGCCTGAGACAAAATGAAAGGAGGAAAAATTTTAGGGAGAACATTAGTAGTTTAGATGGGAAATGGCTCTTAGACATCAAAGTGGAATTGTTGAATTGATAGTGGATTTAGGAGTGTGAAGTTCAAGGGAAAGTTCTTAGCTAGATAAATATATTTGGGAACCATCAGTATGAACTTGAACGTCATGATACTGAATTAGATCACAAAGGGAATGAATGTAGATAGAAAAGTGAGAAAGACAAAAGACTGACTCCAAAGACACTCAACTTTAGGGGGTTAGGAAGGTGAGGAGTAATCAGCAAGGAGAATGGGTAAACTTGGCTATGAGGGGAGAGAAAACCAGAAAAAAAAAGTGGTTTCCAGAAGCCAAGAGGAGAAAAGTGTTTCATGAGTCAGGGATTGAACAACTTGGCCAAATGCTGGTGAGAGTTGCTGAGAACCGACCTTTGGGTTCAGCACAGGGACACCTTTGGAAACTCTGAGCAATTCACGCCAATAGAGAGAAGCAAAATAGAAGTTCCAAAGAGAACGGAGGGGAAAGAAACAGAACGCAATACATACAGACAGTTCTTTAGAGTATCGCTTTATGGGGGAGGCCCGAAAAGAGGGTGGTAGGTGGAGAGAGCGGGAGGGTAAGAAGTATGGGTTAAAGTCCTCCTTATAAGCTCTTGGAAAGGTCCAGTCAAATTTTGACTGGCAGAACCAGGCAGAAAATGAATGATTGTAAGAAAAAGGAGCAAAATATCTGCATGGTCCACTAAAATGATTCACACATAACTCCCGAATCAGTGAAGAAATACATTGTGGGAGAGAAAGTGCCTGGGTTAGAACTTAGGGGCTAATGCCTTAAAGGTTTCATATTTGAAAGGCATTATTAATAATGAGCCTCTTAAATAGCAAAGTTCTCTACTGATCTGTGAAGCCAAAATGTGCTGGCATTTTCCGAGAGGTTCCTTTAGAGGGGGCTGTTTTAAAGAATGCTGTCGTTGTTGTCTGCATTATCACAACCATCATCAAATGGCAATTAAGTACCTAAATTCTCCTACCACCTCCCATATTAAAATAAGAGGGCCTTGTTCCCTGGGGGAACTGCCTGTGGTGACCAGCAATAGTATAAGGAGGCCTGAAGGTTAGAGATGGGGGGAAGATAAGGGGTAGAGGTAGATGGCTCCTGTCAAACCATTCATGCCTCCAGTTCCTGATTTTCACCCTGCCTCTCCAAGAGCCGGAGGGGATGACTCTCCTACTCTATTACTTCTTCCTCCCTTGCTCTTTGCGCCCCTCACTTCTCCTTTTGCCATTTTCTCTCAAGTGCTGGGGGTGGTTCTGAAGATCGCCCCAGCCCCTACTTGCCTCTTCACTGCCTGCAGGCGCACGGGAAGTGGACTGAAACCCCTGAAACTCCAGCGGGGCAGGGGCCGGCATTCTGAGCATGTGCAGGGGGCGGATGGCGGAGGGGGGGAGCGGCCCCAGCCCCAAGTACCTGTCCAAAGTACAGAGTGAGAATACTCCGAGCACAGGGCCAGGCAGCTCTCCCCGGACAGTGCCCCGCGCCCAGGGCGCAGCGGCTGCGCCCTTCCCTCCGGGCGTGGGCGAGGTGGCCGCGTGTGCTTTGCTGCTTGACGCGAGGGCGAACCAATCAGGGGGAGCCGCCAGGGCTGCCATGTGACGGACGAGGCGGCTCCTTTCCACAGCTCGGCCAGAGGGAAGAGAGAACTGGGGCTCGCCGCGAGCCTTCGAGAGCAGTGTTCGTGGAGAAAGAGGCAGCGGTGGCAGCACAGGCTTGGGCCAGCCGCGCGCGCATCCCTGGGCGACCTGCACGGAGAAGAGCTGGGTGGGCTGCGGGAGCAGGGACAGGACTGGACAAAGCAAGATGGCAGGGATCTTAGCCTGGTTCTGGAACGAGAGATTTTGGCTGCCGCACAATGTCACCTGGGCGGACTTGAAAAACACCGAGGAAGCCACCTTCCCGCAGGCTGAGGACCTCTATCTCGCCTTCCCCTTGGCCTTTTGCATCTTCATGGTGCGGCTTCTCTTCGAGAGGTAAGAAGGTTTGGAGCGCCCCTCCCCTCCCCCTACCCCACACGCGCGCACACGCACACTCGTGTGCTCTGTGGTTCACGCATCCGCGCCCCCAGCGCTCGCGCTCACGCCTCCCAACCTTTGTGTTCGGAACGGGTTGCTGACCTTTCAGTCCCGCTGCGGTTCGGGGATATGGAGGGGATCTGGCTTGCCCACGGACTCCTCCGGGCGCCGGGGAGCGGCCGCAAGCGTTGGGGTCGCTCCTGCTCTCCTCCGTGGCCGCTCTCTCCTCGCCCTGAGAGCCGGCGAACAAAGGTGAGCGGAGCTCGGCCGTGGGACGCGCTGCACTCCGCGGGATGTGTCCCGCTCCACCCCGCGAGCACGCTGCGCGCTGCCAGGCAGGGCTTGCCCGCCGAGGCTCGCGGCCACCCACCTGACAGCCGGGAACGTTAGGGACTCGGGGCGGGGAGGGCGCAGGAACCGCGCACACTTTCAGTCCTTTCACCCGGGACACGCATTACCCCGACTGTGCTTCACGAATTCGTCAGGGACTCGCCTTCTGGCCGCCCTTCGGTTTCCGTCGGTGACACTGAGTGTCAGGGCCACAGTCCCGGGAAACAGGGGGCACTAGTTTGTAGGTTTCTAGCCCCCCAGGCCGTTAGCGTTTCTGTAAAAGCGGATATGACAGGACAGGGCGCACAGCCTGCAAAAGGGTGGTATTAAATTGATAGATATTTCCTATGAATCACCATGCTTTCATTTTGGTATCTGAACGCACTTAAAAATTTTAAAGAATTCACGTACTATTGCTTGTGTAAATCTCATATTTGGTTGGGTAGCCACTCTGTGTCATGAGGAAACTTGTGCTACTTTCACTGATTCGGTCTTGGTCGCTAAAATAGATTTTGCCCTGCATGGCTCTCCTGGTCTTATTTAAACAGAACCGGAATGGCAGCACACACTTCTCTCAACTGAAAACCTCACTACCCCTTTCTTCTCCCCTCGCCCCCCCACCCTCAGGGAATTTCTTAGAACACAGAAGATACTCTCCATTTTCCCCTCGCCTCCCTCTCTCCCGCTGCCCTCAACTTACCCTGGTTTTGTTTCTCAAGCTTCTGCTCTGTTGTGTGGTTTGCTCTTTCTGTTTGTCTACAACCTGCTTTTGAGGATGGCAGGAAAATTGAGGATTTTGTCTCATTTGTTGCTGTAAATGGCAACAGACAAAGCTTCCTGGGAACAAAAAGTATCTTTTGTTTAAGAAAAGGGCATTTTTTTCAATGGGCAACATTGTTGCTTAAGAACCAAATGACCTATCTACATGCGGAGATTCAGGGTGCACAATGGACCGGATTTAAAAGACCTGTTTTTTAAAATTTAGAGAGAGAGAGAAAGGGGGGAGGGAAGGGGTGAGAGGGAGAGGTTTGTTGTTCCACTTATTTATCCATCAGTGGTTGATTCTTGGATGTGCCCTGACCAGGGATTGAACCCGCAACCTTGGCATATCCGGACAACCAACTAAACCACCTGGCCAGAGCTAACAAACCTGTTTTTAAATTATTGGAATCCAGCACAGATATCTCTTTGATCCTGTCTAGCACTAAGACTTACTGTGAAAAAGTGGGTGTGTTGGCAGGTTTCGAGTTGCCTCTAGAGCAAATGTTAGTTACAGAAAATAGGAATTCATATCTAACCTTGCAATCTCTCTCTCAAAAAAAAAGAAAAAAGAAAAAGAAAAAACCCACCTCCTAGGAAACAGCAGGTTGCCCCGTGTTGACACATTGTAGGGACTCCACAGTTGCCGAATGATATCTTGCCGGTTCTGAGTGATACATTCTGGTTGGGATCACTTTTAGCTAGCTTATGCACTTGAAAGAGATGGATAGTCTTATGTTTTGGAAAACAGAACCATGTCAGCTAATGACCTGTATGCAGAAAGCTGATTCCAGGCTGTTCATTAGATTGGAGAAAAATAAAATTAGACAATGTGGATAGTTTTATACTTAGACTTTCTTTGCCTTAAAAAAAATTTCATTGAAAACTGGAAGTTCATTTTTCCTCTTCCTGAACAGTATTTTCTTCCTTCACACAATCCCATGACTTAGAGTTTACACAAAGGGGTCAGCTGTTTCCAACTGTCCATCGCAGCAAATGTCCTCAGATCAGTATGTGGAGAGTTGGTCATTTTCTTTCAGGCCATCAATTCAAGTGCAGGTGATTTAATGGCCTGTATGGAAAGTGGAAGTTTATGATTAATGTTCAGAGTAATAATTCAGTATGGCCTTGATGCCACAGGATGCTCCTGACTTCAGGAAGAGTGTCTATTTTCTTTCTTGCTGTAGCAGTGACGAACAACTCTGTCTTTACCACTCAGATTCTCTCAGTTCTCCAAAAATCCAAGTGTATAGTTGTGTTCCAAATTCTGTGACACGTGTTTCTCCTCTTCTCAAACCTACACGACACATTCTGGCATCCAGTCTGGGGCCTTCATCTCAGCATCCATCACGGGCCTGAATCAACATAACCAAACCAGTGAGGGACAACTCACTTTCAGTACCCTTCTAAAATGTGGTGCGTGCATTTTTTTGTGCTGTTCTATAACGTATAATGTGTTTGACAGGAGCCTGTTGTGTATCCCTTTGTGAAATGAAATGCTTTTATAATAGAAATAATTCCCTTAGGATCCTATTTGTTTTTCTTTCTCTATTGTCATTTATTTCAAAGCTAAGAATGTATCTATGAAATAGATTGACCAAGATCTTTATTTCCATTACATGGGGTCTGTAGTGCCCTTGTTGAGGCTAAAATAGGAAATTTGAATACTCTCTCCTTAGTCTTACATAGTTTCTTTCTGTAAAGAATTGACCGAATTGGACTTTTGCCCAGTTCAGCAGCTCTAGCTTTTTACATTCCCCCTCGCGGTGGGGGGAGGTGGTTGGCAGTGGAGGCACCGGCGGCCTGAACAATGCCGTGTGATAGCACCACATGAACAACGATGTGGATGCCCAGCTTGGCTGGTTAAAAATGGAGCGGCCTCTATTCAGGGACTCGACTGTGTGAATTGCCCAAAGCTTGGTGGGTTTGAGCACAGCCTTTCTGCTACACTTTGCTCCCACTAGGGACAGGAAGGGCCACTGCAGATGTGTCTTGATCAATGGTAAATATCTGTCACGTAAAGCAAAAGCTGGCTGGTTTCTCCCAGAATGGAAATTGTTAGTGTACACTGGTGTATTATGTTGTTAGCTTGATGACAAGAAAGAAAATATTATTTAATGATGTGGCATTATCACCTGTTTGATTATTTTTCTTGGTGTAATGCTTGTTTGGGCTTAGTAATCAATCCACTATCTGGTATTACAATACGTGCTTCTTCCAAATTTAATGTTTTTAAAAAATGTGTGTTGCTATGGAATTTATAAATGTGGGATCAAGCTGCTGAGTTTCTGTTTGGGAATAAAAAATTCTTTCAACTGTTGATATGAAGGATAACATTAATGCATTTTTCCCTTGTGGGTTCAGGAGAGAGATGTAGAAAGTTTAGATTGAGAGGCGGAACATACAAGTTCTAGTCCAATGGACCTCAAACTGGGGGCAGGTCCCTAATTTTTCTGTGCCGTATTTTCTCACCTGTGCGCTGAAACAGCTGGCTTTTGTAATTTAAGGTTGCTTTCAGCCTCCCAGTTATATGATTCCTGTACCTACTCATTATTATCTCATCAAACTTTAAGAATAAAGAGATTTTTTTTTCAAACAGTCTAGCCAATGGTTTTGTTTCTTGTATTTTTCAGTTATGATCTGAGTTCAAAGAATCATTTGGGCTATTATCAGTTGTGCTCCAAAAGGCTACAATGTTCAACTAACAAGGAGGATTCTATAGACAAACCAAGTGTAGATGGGACCCAGTGTAGACCTGGAACTCCTTGTGATGGCTGGATCAGAAATGAGAAGCTCATCCCTGCCAGTCTGACTCAGAGCAGTCAGCTGTGTGAGAACTGTCATTCCTCCAGAGGCTGGACTCCAGTCTTGCTTTGGCCCATTCAGTCCAATAATGACCTGCTGCCCCCAGGCCTTCAAGAAACCAGTTATGTCAGAGAGAATGTCTGGCCAGTGGACTCTCCTTATGGGTACACTTAATATCTTCACCTTACCAGCAGCCTTTGCTGAGATCTTGGAGGAGAGTAGAGGGGAGGGGCGGGGCGGGGAGGGGAGACAGAGAGAGAGAATGAATGAGAATGTATGAGAATGCTTTCCTAGTGGTTAGAAGGGAGAGGACAGCTGGAAATGAATGGCTGCCTGGGAAAAGTGGAGTGTCAGGTGAATTTCATTACTGAAGGGCATTCCTTGTAATGAAGAGACTGATTATTATCAGATATGTTTTAAAAGAATATGCAATGAATTAAATGTTTATGCTCCCTCAAAGTCCATAGGGTGCCATCCTAACCACCAAGGGAAGGGTATTAGGAGGTGGAGACTCTGGGATGAGTATGTAATAAGAGTGGGAACTTTGAGGATTGGATTAGTGTCCTTATATAAAAAAAGCACCCTCACCCCTACACCATGTAAGGACACAGTAAAAAGATACCCATTTGTGACTCAGATACGAAATCTGCTGGTGCCTTGATCTTGGACTTCAAGTCTCCATAACTATGAGAAGTAAATTTCTGTTATTTTTAAGCCACCCAACCTATGGTATTTTGTTATGGCAGTTTGAATAGACCAACACAGTATTTGAGAATAACTTGCATACACATTTGGTTCTTCTCATGCAGTCAGTCCTGGATAGTTAATCCTATGAATGTACCTTTTGACTTGTTAAACGACGCTGTGATTCAGATTAAGACATGGATACCTGCTCTGCCAGGCTGGTGTGAGGGCAAGAGTTGGGTCAGACACAGAGGTTACCTCCTACAATTTCTGGCTTGGAGAGGAAAATTGGATGAGAGAGGATGTTTTGTTGTACAACAACCTAAAATCAAAGGGATTTTTTTTTTTTGCAGAACTTTAGTACAGCTTTCTCGTCTTAA